ATTCAGATGATGTCACTAGGAATGCATCCCTCTGTCATTCCGCTCATCTTTCCTCTGTCCCCTCCATTCCCAGTCTTCCTCTCCCTTCATGGTGGCCCTCCTCCCTGTCCCCAAGCTCCAGGCTGCCATTCTCACAGCTCAGCAGTTTGAGAGGAAAGGGAACTGACAACGGAGAATGGGTTCCCAGAGGAGCATCAAGGCACTGAAACCAGAAAAAGCAAAAAGCAACAGATATCCACAATGATAAGCTTGTAGAAAAATGGGCTCCTCTTGCTTTAAAATAGATAAATCAAATGCCAGACCTCCATGCTTTCTTCCTACTTCATTCAGGAAGATGGGGGTACTGGACATAAGAGGAGAGTGGAAAGTGGGCAGCTTTGGTTGCCAGAGGACCTGAGCCTGACTGCTGGCTCTGTCCTGCTCACTGTGTGATCTTAAGCTAGTCACTTAACCTCTCTGAGCCTCATTTCCCTCTTTCTGCGCAGCTAGACTAGACGCTCCCTAAGGGCAGTTACTTCACTATTTTTTTTATTATTAATACCTCATCCCCAGTGCCTTGTTGAATGTTATTAAATAAATCAACTGCAGTTCAAGTTTGTTGTACTAAGAAAAACTACACACACACACACACACACACACACACACACACACACACACACACACATGGTGCCAAAAAAAAATGTATACACATTTTAAGAAAGGAAAAAAACTCATTAAAATTCCACTGATGGTAACCACTTTGAGCACCTCTTGTGATTGCAGACGTCAAACGTGACTTGTATGCATCTTTTGTTATCGGTACATATTGACTATTACAATTTTAATACAGTGTTTTCCTTTCTTAAAATGTGTATACATTTTTGGGGGGCACCCTCTGTATATACATATATAACACTAGTAAAATGCCAGGCACGTAGAAGGTGATGAATAAGTTATAGAGTTGATCATTATAGTACTCTGCAAAGGAAGTGGAACAAAGAACAAAAATATTACAGTTGAGGCAGCTGATGGAGAATTAGACATGGAGACGGAGGCCGTTTAGTTGTCCGCCGGCTGCCTCGGTGGCCTGCGTTGGCCATCGTGGTCATGGATGTGGCCTCGTGGAACTACCCCACCCGAGTACTGAGTCCCTATTCCTCTTGTGTCCCCTCTGCAGCTGGAGCTCTCCAACACCGCGGTGCTGCACCAGATGCGGCGGGACCAGGTCACGGACACGTGCCGGGCCAGCAGCGCCATGAGCCGCAAGCGGCGGGTGCTGACCCCAAACGACCTGAAGCACCTGGTGGTGGATGAGGACCACGAGCTCATCTACTGCTACGTGCCCAAGGTGGCCTGCACCAACTGGAAGCGGCTCATGATGGTCCTGACCGGGCGGGGGAAGTACAGCGACCCCATGGAGATCCCGGCCAACGAGGCGCACGTCTCCGCCAACCTGAAGACCCTGAACCAGTACAGCATCCCAGAAATCAACCACCGCTTGAAAAGCTACATGAAGTTCCTGTTCGTTCGCGAGCCCTTCGAGAGGCTGGTGTCGGCCTACCGCAACAAGTTCACCCAGAAGTACAACACCTCCTTCCACAAGCGCTACGGCACCAAGATCATCAAGCGCCAGCGGAAGAACGCCACCCAGGAGGCCCTGCGCAAAGGGGACGATGTCAAGTTTGAGGAGTTCGTGGCCTATCTCATCGACCCGCACACCCAGCGCGAGGAGCCCTTCAACGAACACTGGCAAACCGTCTACTCGCTCTGCCACCCGTGCCACATCCACTACGACCTCGTGGGCAAGTACGAGACGCTGGAGGAGGATTCTAATTACGTGCTGCAGCTGGCAGGAGTGGGCAGCTACCTGAAGTTCCCCACCTATGCCAAATCCACGAGAACTACTGATGAAATGACCACAGAGTTCTTCCAGAACATCAGCTCAGAGCACCAAACGCAGCTGTACGAAGTCTACAAACTCGATTTTTTAATGTTCAATTACTCAGTGCCAAGCTACCTGAAATTGGAATAAGGGGGGGTGGGGGGTGGGGAGAGGGAGAGAATCATGCTTTTTAATTTAAGATTTTTATTTGTCAAAAGAATTATATGGATATTGGGTTATTTTGTAAATTAATGTTTCTTCGGGGATGATGCTGCGAGCAGCATAGTGAGAATTATTTAAAAATCCTTAGTAGGGAAGGACAGCTGTCTTTGCAGGGGAATAGAGTGGGTGTCCTTGTGTGTAGACATGAATACTGCAACACTGTCTCAAAAGGTTTCCTTGTGTTCTGGTGAATTCCATGAATTGTGCATTCCATAAATTCTAATTAATATTATTTATAGTTATTTAAACATGGTCTTTGTATAGATTTCTTTTGGGGGTAACAAGATGGTAAGGTCTTTGCAGGAGAAATCTATGTTTCATTCTGTGCTTGCGATAGCTCATTTGGGGTCATGAATGTTCTCACTCACCGCTCATAGAGTCACTGTGTATTGTGTATTGATGCCACCATTCTTGAAATTCCATTAGAAATAAATAGAAAGGAAGCACCTTTGAAAGGGACTAAATTCCAAACCGATTTTCAATCAACCCAAAAGTCCCTTGCATTAAAGATATGTGATTTTTTTTTTTAACCCAAGGAGAGAGCTGATGGTAGCTTTTTTTTTTTTTTTCACCAGAATTAGTAGTCTGATAGAATAGGCTTTTCTAAAGAAATTTTTAACTGGCAGTGCCAGTTGCGATAAACGTGAAGTGGCTGTTGCTTTATAGTCAACAAGTATTTATTGAGCAACAACTACATGCTAGGCCTCATTCTAGGCCCTGCAGGTAGAGCATTGAACAAAACCAATAGTCTCAAGCCCTCAGGAAGCTTTACATGGACACAAGAGTATCCAGCTTGACAATTAGCAAACCCCCAATATTTTGCATGTAACATGAGGTTTGGACTGTTCATAAGCAGGAAGTCCATGACCCCTACAAATTTGGATTTTTCTATGGCCCCAATTTGAAAACCACATGCTTGGAGCATGCCACTTAACTTGGTGAGTAATCCAAGCTCAGTGCCCAGCACAGGAGATGACAAAAATGTTTGCTACCGTGTGCCCACTCCAATTTATTGGTAGTGTCTGCCTTTGAGCCCCAGAACAAATTTACCAGCCACAGCATAGAACAGTGCTGTGATTGATTAGTAATGTCTGCTTTGGGTGAGGAAAGGAAAACTTGAGCTGAGTCCAGTGCCGCCTCCTGTCATCTCTAGCCCAGCAGCCACGTCTCCGTCTCCATGTACAAGTGTTACTTTCTACTCTTGCTACGTAGAAGAGTGAAATCCTGGGGCAGGATTTCTACACTCGGGGATTTACAATGGACTGGTGTTTCTATCCCTCGTGTAGGTCAGAGGTGGACTATTGGTACAGACATGCACATGTGTACCCCCTCCCAAGTCCTCCCAAGGCTAAGAGCATCAGCTCCTTTGTGACCACCGTGCATGAGCAGCAAGGACAGCCTTCTGTGATGATAATCCAGTCCCCTTTTCCTCCGCAAGGCTGAAAACATTCACTTCCTGTTCTAATGAACACTTGCACACGCGTCTCATTTCCAACCATTTTCGATGCCTCGGTTGAAGTTTGAGCCACATCCCTCTTACAGCTAGTGAATGAGTTGGTAGCAGATACTGTATATAATTAATAATAATAATAATAATAATAGTTCTAATAATAGGGGGTGGGGTGGGATGGGGTGTGGGTAAATTTTGCTTTTTGTTTTGTTTTTGATGCAGTATATAGCCAAGGAGTGAGAAGAATATTCTAAAACAAACCAAAAAAATGAATAATTTATTCACAGAAACTATTAAAATCTATAATAAAGCTCAGAGACAGCTCAGTGAGCAGCAGCTGCCACATCTCACCGAGAAAATTATTTTATGGAATGTGAGTGAGGTGTGCACTGGAGAAGGTGGCCGAAGCTATTTATAAATGTCGTGTCCCTTCTTCCAAGCTCTCTCCCCTTGTGAAGGGCACAGTGACTCTACCCTTGATGAACAGAGATTTATGCAACATGTTTTACCAAGTAGAGTGTCAGTCTTCAGCTGTCCCTGGAATTGGGAACCTGGATTCTATTTCCAGGCAGGGGACACTGTTCTCAGAAACAAAGATTCTGCCAATGAAACAGCTTGTCCAGCATTTTTATAAATATTTGCTCTACAGAACACAGGTTCTAGGGGATGTCAAGTTCATGTGATGCCCAATCAGACAGTTTTGTGGTCACATCTCCTTGGCAAACAAAGTTAAGTCAGTTTCCTTTCTTCAGGACTTTTCAGAGCCTTGAATGTGCACTGTGCATTGTGAATCCCAAGAGCATCATTGAGTCAGTAGCATTTCCCGACCTTACATGACCAGAATACCCTGTTTTGCAGATCATGTCACAGAGCTGGGGTGCCACAGAGTATACTTTGGTTAGGTTGATTTAGTGCATCTGAGGTCTTCACGGATAAAAACTGCCTCTCTAACCCCACTCCAAGAGACAAAACCAAAACAAAACAAAAAAGAAAAAGAAAACAGCACCACCGTGTCCATCGGGTTTGTAGCCACAGAGGTACTTTATCAAATGACTTCAACTTCTACTTACATGCAATGGTTCTAATCCTGGATACTACCACAGGCAAGGATTCCATCCCTCCCAAGTGGAGTGGAGGAAAGTCTTGGGTGGTGTGGGCAGAAGGAAGGGGGGTTGAGGTGGGGTAAAAGGCCGCAGTGGTCCCCCTACTCCTCAAGTCTTAGGTTGCTTAATGCAAGCAGAGTGAGCTCAACCCTTGACGAGTGCTTCTTCGATTCCATAGTTTGGAATTGTTCACTGTGTGCTTTTTGGTTTCAAAACGGAAATTGATGTAGATTTCCTGAGTTTTGCATTTCCATATCCACCTTGATCAGCTATGCCAGCCAGCTCAGTGCTGTGTGCAGATCATCTTCTTTCATCATTTCCTGTCAAGTGAGAAAGATTGTCCCTGGGGGGGATGATACGTCAGTATGGTTCTGCAATGAGGGACCTTTCTCCTTGTGTTTTGTTTTGTATTCATATCTTATTTTCTAATGGTATAAAAAAGTTTTTTAATTAAGATTCAAGCGTTTTGCAGAATGTAGAAAGTATTCTGTGTCCTTGGTTAAAAAGAATCCATGGGTGAAAATGTGCCTGGGAAACAAAAGTTCATGTTTTTTTAAATACTTGGAAAACGTTTTCTATCGCATGCTTAGCTGGAGAAAAGTACAGGCAGGTGTCCCATCTCCAAGCCACTTTTCAAAGGTGCTGCTGTGTTTTCAAAACCAGGTACAGTCAGGGTAGTATTTACAAGGACATTCCTTCTTACCTTATCCCTTTGNCATCATCGCTGAGCACACAGTCTCCTAGTCAGAGCAAGCCCCAGCTGGCTGGAGTCAGGAGGCTGGAGAAAGAAATTCTACTCCTTGATGGGAAGAGCGACACTGCAGGACTGCAAAGGAGACTGCCCATGGGTGGGGGCGGGCTCTAACCACGCCTTCGAGATTCCCACCAGTTGTTTGCAAGGCTGAAGGAGCAAGAGACTCTCCTTACTGCTCACATGTGGAACTTTCAAAGCATTAACATTCTGTCTCGGTTCGCTTCCTTCCCTTGAGTGTGGAAACTTCCAGTGGTGATAGCATTTAGTTCAGAGAATTGCTGGGGAGATTAGAGAGGATGTAGTCAAATAACCTAGGAAGGTGCCTCACACAGAGTGGCTCCTCCTACTGTGTGCCGTTGTCTCCTACTGTCTGATGAGCCCCATCACCATCACTGGGGACCATGAGAGGAGGCAGACACAGAGCTCTAATGCAGGATGTAATGACTTCTCTCCAGTGGCCAACAGGATATCCCTCAGGTCCTCAGGAAACTCATCCGTGTTCTTAATGAAGCCCATCCCAGCTGCCCTGTGCACATTTTAGGATGAATTGTACAGACTGTGGTTCAGAATTGGAAGTGCAGGGCCAGCTTCTTGGGACATACCCAGGCCCTTGGCTCTATCCAGGTGGTTGGGGCGGGGGTGAGGTGGGGGTGGGGTCACCGATCCCTTTGCACTCTCAGGACTCAAGGCCACCCACAGCCTGGCCTGGAGGAGGCAGTGATTCCAAGTCCCCGTGAAAACAAGTGGCCGCTGGACTTGAGAAAAGCAAGCATGAAGTAGGCTGGGGAGTTGTACTAGAAAGGACGCTCAGTGCGGTGCGTGTTCAGAAGGGGGAGTGGTTCATCCTCCTGTGTGGCAGGGGAGTGTGTTAGCCCTTGAAGGACTATTGGGGTTCTACCAACACCAAAGATGGAGAGGGGAGAATCCCAAACGGGAGTGCTTGGGCCCAAAGGGAAAAGAGTGACGTCCTGGTTTCTCTGGAGCTTACTTCAGTTCCGAAGGAGGGAGAAGTGGGAACGAGGCTAGAAAAGTAGGTTGGTGCTTGGGCTGTGGAGGCCCTCCAAAAACAACTACATGAATGGGATCCCCATTCTCAGAGCAGGGAGGCAACCAGGACACCACGTCATCTGCAGTCCCAGAATGGCTATTCCAGAGCCCAGGTGCCCCAGTTTCGCTATAACTTTAACCATAATTACTATTAATTTCTTCTATATTTAAAAGAAGAGCTGTGCTGCACTTTCAGGAGGGGAGGTGGAGGCATGGTGTTAAGCCAAAAATAATAGGAGGGTGTCACCGCTGCATAACAGTCCCTGAATCTCTGGGTGTTGGACACCAAGATGGCAGCACACCAAGGCAGTGTGGTCGTATGTTTCCTATT